TTTCATATAAAATTATGTTTCATAGCTAAATATTTGATATTAAATGAAAGCCCTGTTTCCCCTGAATAAAATGATATATAATAAGGGTGGGTTCATTTACTATGAAAGAGGTGTATTACGGTTGGACAGACATGTAGCGCAAATGCCAGGTTTTGTTTACATTTTGTTTTGTTCACAATGTGTACATTTGGCTCCGTCCTTAAGGGGTTAAACATGTATATCACAATATAATAATTCAATATGATGTTAGTGTTGTTATTATACATAGTTATCTATGTTTTATTTATTCATATATTTTGTTCAACATTGAGTTGTGTTACTTACAATTCATATTTCCCAATGGATCAAGACTTACAATCTTGATACAACAGTCTGACATAGATTTGTTTTTTCTAAATAAACCCCTAAATCCTTGACATTCACCTAGAGCACAGATACGCAGATATTTATGTGATACGAGAATATCTACCAAACATATTTTTTCTCACCTTTAACAGAGATTCTTGATGGAACATGAGTTGTTCTAATATCACAACTATAAATATTGAACTGTATTTTTAACAAAACATAAAGGAGGGGGCGCTTTCCACTATGTTTAAACAAATGGACCAACTGAGGGTATTTTTCTCTAAAGTTATGTTTTGTAACTACCGGGTATTCATTAAAACAAGGAGTCAGTGGTGAAGTCACATCATTTTTAACTTCCACATACTTGGATCAAGTCAGGTATGATAACATACATATTTTATTTGCTGCTAGCTACAAATTAAATTAAAATTTTAAATAATTAAAAATGAATTAGAAAAATTAAATTAACTTTAACATTACTCAGAGTTTATAATTCTAAAGGGGCACACCTAATCTTTATGAACATAACATACATTCCTAATGTTAGAGTGTCCTTTTTCTATTTGTATTTATGGGTCCTCCAGAAAAAGAGCCTAAATAATTGTCTTTAACTTTATTCCACCTGCCATCTGATCTTGGTTTGACCACTGCACCTCCCCTGGCTGAGATCATCATGATCAGATTATCTCAATCAATTCAATGCTTCTCCATATGGGAGCATCGGGGGACTTGAGTACATGTATAGCAATTGCTGCACGGAGGCAATCAGCATCTTCTCATAGGTTTAATGCATCTTTATGGGTAATGTTTGACATCTTCATGCAGAACTTCATGCATGTTGGCTCTTCAAAGATTGCAGGAACACACCAGGAAGGCCATCTAGTGACTGTAGAAACCAATACAAACAATAGACTCATTCAGGATAAAAAATGTGATCAAATTGATTCATCTTGAAAAAAATGCGTTGTGCACGGTCCAAAATTAATCAATGTGGTGTTTCAGCTCATTTTGACCATGTGATTGGAAAAAACTATTTGGATGAACAAAAAGGTGCCAATTTAGTCAATCAATACAGTACTGCAAAATGTATACATAATATAAATACTATGTAAAAAAAATCATGTTTTATTACATCTAGAAATAATGCCTAATAATAATAATGTTGTATGTAATGATTATTGTCTACATATGTATGTATGCATCTGTTTGTCTATCTTTCTGTCTATAATTAATTTCATAAAACATAAGATAAAGAGAACTGTATTTAATTTTACAAAATATAAATTTAATTGCATACATACTGATAAACTCTTTTTTTGGACCTGATAACTTTGTGACTTTCAGTGGATTGTTAAGACAAAGCACTGGAGCGTGATGCACACCTGTTAGACATCTACCATGCTCATTTTGAATAATGAAAAATACGAAAGGAATATCCTCATAATAGCAGAATAAATTAGTCTTGATGCAGAAAAGAATAAATCTCTTTCTGTACAACACCATAGTGTCACTTTGTAAAAAACAAATCTCATCATTAGAATCTTAAGAAACACTCAACAAGGTGAGCCTGCGGTGGGCTATTATCATACAGATGGCACCAAGCTATTAACCTTGGTACAAGGTCAAACTATTTCCATAGGACAAATACATGCTTCTGATGGGAATGATTAAAAACCTAGCAGATCCTTAAGGAAATCCAGAAATTGATTTTACACCTATTTTTAGAGGCATTTTTCACGTGAAACACAGTACTTTTGGACAGCTAAAGAACATCAATCATGGGGGAAACCAAATACCTTAGTATTAATGATTTAAAAGAATTCAAAAGTGCTTCCATGTGGAAGTATAATTATGGACAATAATGTCTGATAATGCATTTACAAAGAAGATGAAGAATTGTTTTAATCTTAATGCATTAATTATCAAAGGGAAATTAGAATTTTGACAGACAGAAGCCAATGTTTTAGAAGGCCGAAGTTTTGTATAATAAAATATCACATTCATGCAGATTTCTTTTTGAAAGTTGGTGTTTCAATTGGCTTATTATTTGGCTTATTATTTTAAAGGGACACTCCAGTGTCCTTATCCTACAAAAAAACAAAACAAACATAAATAAATATCACTGTTTAGTAGATATAAATCTCCAATGAAAATAAGCATGTGTTTAATTATTCATTTTTTAATTGTGAGTATATCTGAAAATAGCTTGTAAAAGCTGCAGATATCTTGTTTGAAGCCTTTGCAAGTCCTACCCTTCAAACACCCCCCAGACTTTCTGTGGGTGTCCAATCAAATACTTCATAATGCAGCTCAATAACAAGACTTTGTGGGGCAGGTGTACTGAGCAGTTACTGCATCTTGAGCTCAACTAAGCTAAACAGCCAGGAAGTATTGTAACTGGTTATCTGATTATCTGAGTGTAACAATAAAAGAGAGCACATTGCATACATAAAACACTTCAGCAAGCTAAAGTGCTTTAGGAGTCTAGAGTATTCCTCTTACAAAAAACTGAACTTAATAAATAGTATCCGAGAGGGATTGCTATTGTTACCTTACCCCTGTGTTTAATTAGGACTAGTAAGCTCTTACACACACACACTTGGCTTGAAGAAAGGGGCACCATTGGACACCTAACCACAGCATGCTGTGTGTGCTAATGTTAGACTTTCAATATACAAAGAATTCACATTAGCCACAAGCAACTCTTTTTCAAGACTGCTGCTGGAGGTGCAGATACACTTCTGGTAGCAGAGGCATTAAACTTCTTGGCAAAATGCTGGACATACAAACTCCAGGTATTAAGACCAGTTCAAATCACTGAAGTGGATATGGTGCTTGCAGTCAGGGTCTGTGCAAGGATTTTTGTCTACACAGGCAAAGACGCATTTTGCCGGCCCACAAAATTCATCTTCACCTGTCTGTCTAATGTCCCCCCTTTTGCCTCTTTTGTGCATATTGACTCCTTTTTCTTTCTCTTTTCTCTCTTTACATTTTTGCATATCTCCTGTTTGTCATTCTTTTCATGACTTTCTGCCAATTTTGTGGTCTCTTAACCCACTCACTGTGGCTCTTACACACACACACACTGGCTCTTACATACACACACACTGGCGCTTAAACACACACCAACTCTTTCACACACACACACACACACACTGGCTCTTACATACACACACACACACACACACACTGGCGCTTAAGCACACACCAACTCTTACACACACACTCCATGGCTCTTATACACACACACACACACACTCTCTCACTAGCTCTTACACACACACACACACACACACACACACACACACTGGCTCTTACATACTGACACACACACACACACTGACTCTTACATACAGACACTGGCTCTTACTCACATACATTCATTGGCCCTCACACACACAATGCCCCTTTGCCCCTTTTGTGCATCTTGACACCTTTTTCTTTCTCTTTTTTCCCTTTTTGCATATCCCCTGTTTGTCATTCTTTTCATGCCTTTGTGCAAATTTTGTGGTCTCTAAACCCACTCACTGGCTCTTACAAACACACACAAACACATACACACATTGGTGCTTACACACACACACACACACACAAACAAACTCACTGTCTCTTACACACACACATTCATTGGCTCATTCGCTCATACACTCACACACACACACATTCAGTGGCTCATACACACACTCACTGGCTCTTACACACACCCTCTCTGACTCTTATACACACACACACACACACACACTGGTGCTTACACAGACACACTGGCTCTTACACACGCAATGGCTCTTACACACACACACATTGGTGCTTACACACACACACACACACAAACTTACTGTCTCTTACACACACATTCAGTGGCTCACACACACACACATTCAGTGGCTCATATACACACACACACACACACACACACACTCACTGGCCCTTACACATACCCTCTCTAACTCTTGTACACACACACACACTGGTGCTTACACACACACACACTGGCTCTTACACACACACTGGCTCTTACACACACACACACACACAAACTCAATGTCTCTTACACACACACATTCAGTGGCTCATACACACACACACACACACTCGTTCACTGGCTCTTACATACATACACACACACACACACACACACTGATTCATACACACACTTTCTCGTACATGCACACTGGCTCTTACATACTAACACACACACACACAAACTGGTTCTTACACATGAACTTGCTCTTACACACACAAACACACACACACTCTTACGCACACACATTAATTTGCTCTTACATACACACACTTACTGTTTATTATCATTGTTAAAAAGAAATCTCACCAGGTGTTGCTGCACTGTAGAAGCTTATCTTCTCTCTACACAGCGCTCAGCAACTTGGGATATGATGTCATATATCCAAGTGGCCTTTAGCTCATGCAGAAATTGGCTGTGGCCGCTGCATCGCTGCTCCCATGCTCTATGCTTCTTTTCCCAGCACACAGTCTGCTTGTTAAATTAGTAAAATGAGCATTGCTTAAGTGAGTAACTGGCGGGAGAGGGGTTCTCTGTGCTCCTACCTCCCACCAGTCACTTGGACATCTTGGAATGCCTTTGTTTGGTGGGCCATAAGACGTCCTCCTGTGCTGCCTTTTGGTAGAGCCGGCCCCTGCTTGCAGTAACCCTGTAAAAAAAAATTAGATTTTTTTTAGATGTGGTTCACTAAACATAATTTTTTTTTTTTTAAAATGACAGTTTAAGGTACAAATCCAAGCAAAACATTCTGTTATAAAAACCTTTGAGAGAGTAACTGGTTTATGTGCAAGGAAAACGTTTCATTTTAGTATGCAGGAAAAATATGATAGAGAGGTTGGTAATGCGCAAAGGTAGACTGACAAAAGTATATATATTTGAGAATTAAATCACAGATTTTATTTATGAGAGTAAATTTATGAACACATCTCTATTATTTTGTAAAGCACTCTGGTCCTTCTTTGTGATCTGTTAAGCAGTTTAGAGATCCTTTTGAAAGCTGCAATGTTAAATCTGCAATAATAAAATTTTAATCTGCTTTCAAACATACAAATACCATGTATAGTATTAATGTATCCCTGCTTTTTCTGCTGCATCTCTTATTACAAGATTGGATTTTTATCTTAAGAGATAATAAAACATAACACCAGACTCACTTAGATGATACCATAAAGAATCACTGAGACCGAAATACAAACCCTGGCTTCTTGCTACTTGACGTGGTTATAGTTTTATTTCAATCAATATTAGTATATACTATTTCCTGTAACTAAGACAATTCAATATGGTATCGATTGTGGACCCAAGATTCAAACCCAGCTCAGTAGATGTCAAATTCAATTATACGCTACTTTGAACAATTCAAATACCCCCTCTTTCCAAATCAACCAATGATATTGTAAAACACCAATTTTAGGCATAATATATTTAGGCAAAAAAAGAAAAAAAAACAACAACATTACAATGACAATGACCCCAATATTATCAGAATAACATCATAAGACTATAACAACATAAGTAACATAATGAAACATAATAAAGTGCAAACAATTTGTCAGAATGATCCAATGTAGGAGTATACCGAGATACCCCTACACTCCTAGGTTCTGAGCCACAGGTCAGCTCAAAACCTACCACACCAACTTGTCAGAATGATCCAATGTAGGCGTATACCGAGATACCACTACACCCCCAGGTTCTGAGCCACAGGACTGCTCAAAACCTACCATACCAACTTGCCAGAATGAGCAAATATAAGGGTATACCAAGATACCCCTACACCCCCAGGTTCTGAGCCACAGGCCAGCTCGAAACCTACCATACCAACTTTTAAACCACATACCAGCTTTTAAAACCACATAATTACTTCAATCCCTAATAACAACCCATTCCACCTCCCAATTTACCTATCCAGTCCCCTGCCACAGCTCAGACCTTGACCCCTTAAGATATCTGACCACCACCACTATACAATGTCCCAGCCAAGCCTTCCTGTAATCCCACATTGAAACGGTGGAGACCAACATCTGAAAAGATGCACCCCATCCATGCAAAAAATAACTTGGCAACATTGATTCCAGCCCCAGGTGCCCAATCACCCGCTATCAATTTATTGATGTTAAGCATACCTCCAGGGAAACCGAATAAATATTTTCTACCAAATAACCACTACAACTGCCACTAACTCACGCAATTGGTTCACATCCCTTTTCATTTGTTTAACCAACTCCAGCTTTTGCACCTGCCCAGGTCTTTACCTTCTGCATGAAATAAAACAAAATATGGGGACCCCTACCTCATCCAACCTGTGAAACATCTACCGACACAGCTCTCTCCACCTGATACCACAAAACTGGAGCCACACCAATGTAACCTGGTCCACCGGAAATCCCAGCTGCTAACTTTGGAACCCAACTGCAGCTCTCTTCTTTGCCCAGTGTACATACGAATGGCCCACCAACCATGCAACCAACCCTAAGGAAGCAAACACAAAAGCTCAAGTAAATAACAATACTTCATACTTAGAATGTTTATTTATTTATGTATTCATATTTTTTTGTTTGTTTTTGTTTCTATTTTTTTTTGTATGCACATGTCCATGCACCACCAGCATCGAAGAAGCAAACAGGTTATTAACCATGAGAACAACCGACATATTGTAAGGGAAGAATATAACTTTTCTATGCCTCAACTGCTCAACCCACAATGGAAGTACCACCACCAATGGAAACAACCCGAAAAATGCTAGTTTACAGATGAGTGTGCTTATTTTCTACTCTTCAGACCTCTACACATCAATGACCTCCAAAATAAGCCCCAAAGCCCACGCTCCCTAAAGTCTTAATAAAGAGCTCAAGCTCCTCAGGAAAACCACCACTTTTCTGAAAACACCATCCAGATAAAGAAAGGTTTCCCATACTTCCACCTCTGCCTCCTTAGCAGCAGTGACCCTGAATAAAGTGATGAGTCGATTCATTCCCACAAGTAGGCTTACCCAAAAACCTGTTAAAAAATTGCCCCATCAGGGTAACCCAAAGTTAAGACGGCCAATCAAAGATTGTAGTTGCCTCAATGTCACCTTCCTGGCTTTGTTTACCTTTACCACAACCTACTGCAATGCAATTACTTTGTCCACAGGAAGCCTATACCCACCCCTCTCCAACCCTAGAAAGTTATACATGTAGCTGCGCCTAACCTCACTTGATTTTGCCCCTGAGTCAACGTGAGCTTCCACAGAGCTAGATGCGCCAGTGGTGGAATTGGTCTTACCCCACTTGAAGAACATGTAGCTGGGCCCTCTGTTTTGTCAGCCTCCAATATTACACCGAACAATTGAGCTACCCATTCCCACATTCACGTATAGGCAAGAATTTGAATCAGAAGGGCGCACACAAAGCTAATTTACTACCAGCTTCCTCACTAACTAAGTGCTGAACATTTTTAAATAAGCACATGAGATGAAGCATCCCATCGATAGACATCCTAATAAATTACGGCAAAAAGGATGAATGGGTAAAAGCTGCCTTAGCCAACAGAGCGTTTTTTGCCAGACCTCTTAACCAACTTGACCGCCATCAATACCATCATTTACTGATGACCCTTTAGGAGGAGACAGATAGTGGATAAGTCTGTATTTTCTAGTCAACTTCTTCAGCACAACCCCTAATAAGATTCTGAGATTTTCCAATAGGAACAGCTCAAACAGCCCTGTCATCCCACATAGCCATACCTCCTTGAACAAATTGTCCCTAACCACCTGCGGGAACTCCAAAACTGAATTCAAGGCACGAAAGTGCAAAATGGTCCCTTAACAAACATGCACCTCTTCACTTCATGATTAGCATAGTGGCTTAGCCAGGGTAGCATTGCGCCTAACTTCACTTGATTTTACCCCTGAGTCAACGTGAGCTTCCACAGAGCTAGATGAGCCAGTGGTGGAATTGGTCTTACCCCACTTGAAGAACCTGCTGAGTCTGTGAGCTTCCCTAAAGCCAGGGCACTTGTGCTTGAACTTACAGCCGCTGTCCCACTTGCTTTGACTACCTTTGAGTAGCTAAAAAAAAACTTAAGTCTAGATAACTGAACAACGTAAGAATGCAAAAAAGCAAGAGAATATATTCCCAAAACTCACTCTTCCAAATTTTTTCTTACATCTTTTGTTTTAAATGGATCGCCAGAATCCCCTGAAAAAGATACATAAGCACATGAGCATTCTGTCTGGCCGCACCAGGAATGCAACCAGACAATTCCATGACCTTCACACCTGATGCTGCCACTACATCACACCCAACACTCCCTTCAATCTCCAGAACTACAGTAGCATTGCCCCCAACCTTGTGACCTCGCGTGTGGTACCCAAACTTGCCCAAAGCCTGACCTGTTTCCTGTCATTGTGCCCCACAAATTTAGAAAAGATTTAAACCTTTCTTCCATGTAGTGCAGTATTTAACTCACTATCGAACCCCCTGTTGCCAAAAACTGAGGGGCTTCCTCTCATCGTCTTCAAGTTTCGGAAACTGCTGCTACAGTTGCTGGTATGGATCCCGAAGCCTTGTTCGTAAATGAAACCACTGGTGATCAACTTCCAGACCTGTAAAGAGAAGATGTCCTAGGTAGTCTGTTCCTATCAACACTGTCCCTTCCTTAGCTGGGGTAAGTAACCTGCCATCACGTTCCCAAGTGCGACCCCTGTGGTCCACCTACCTGAGTGGGGGATCTTGTTTCCCTGTAAAGAGTGCAGCCCCTAGGATCCACTCTGTCATCTGCCATTGTTCCCAAGCCCTCTCGGGATGCTGGTACATGCCTATCACTCCTACTGCCAGAGGACTCCTGTTCCAGTTCCTTGCCATGATCATCACTGGATCTGCAAGGTTCAGATCTGACACCTTTCTTGTCAGTTTTAAGCCTCCTGTGGTCCTGAACAGCACCGTGATGTCCTGGGCCTTGCTGGGATTCTTTTGTTGGCTAAGACCCTTAGGTCTGCACTGTCTGCCATCCACAGATCTGCTGTCATCAGTGGTGTCAGCTGGGATAAGTGACCTGCCATCCCGTTTACAAGTGCGGTCCCTGCACCCACCTGGGGCATCTTGTTTCCTGGAAAAAAAAGGCCCCATATGACCCACTCTGTCCTCAGCCACAATTCACAACCCCTGCTGAGCTGCCGGTACTCGCCTGTCACTACAGCTACCAAAGGACTCCTGTTCCACTTCCTTGCCATGTTATGTTCTGATCTGACACCTTTCCAGTCAGTCTTAAGCCTCCTGCGGTCCTTAACAGCACCCGTGATGTCCTGGGGCCCTGCTGCGATGCCTTTGATGCCTAGGCAACTTAGGCCTGCGCTGTCTGCCATAAAACCTCTCAGTTCTACTGTCATTATTGATTTCAGCTGCTCCTGAACTCAGTCAGCAACCTTCTGGGTTGCTCTCTTGCTTCCCTTCAGTATGGCTGCAAACATTGTCCTCGTGATGAATCTGTCACTCCTGCTGCCAAAGGATTCCACTTCCTTGCCATGATGATCACTGGATCTGCTATGTTCTGATCTGACACCTTTCCTGTCAGTAATATCATGTGGTCCTGAACAGCACCCATGATGTCCTAGCCCCTGCTGTGATTCTTTTGCTACCTAGGCCCATTAGGTCTGTACTGTCTGCCATAAAGCCTCTCAGCTCTGCTGTCATCCGTGATTTCACCTGCTCCTGAACCCAGTCAGCTGCCTTCTCCTGGATTGCGCTCTTGATTCCCTCCAGTATGGATATAAACACAGACCCTTTGATGAACCTGCAAGAGAAAAACTGCTCGCTCGATATCGCGAGGTAGGCCGCACTAGATTCTTGACCAACTCTCTGTGTGGCACATTGCCTGCAGATGTATATCTCCGTGACCTCATTCTTTCGCCCTTCTGTCCATGGGCAGCTATTGATCCTACGTACTAACATTTAGGGCTGTTTCTGCACCTACGATCGCTCGTTAGATTCGATGACTTCTTTCATCGGCTGGCCTGGCGAGTTCTTTTAGGGTGTATTTGTTTTGGGGCACTGCAGCTTCAGCAGCTCTAGAAGCCGATGGGTTCTTTTACAGATATTCTTGGCACCGCTGATCTAGGAAGTTGACTTTCCATACTTTTTACTTTTGTCCACGATCTCATGTTTCTTCTATTTTTATGTATGGGTATTAAAATTGTAAATATGAAGCCTCCTGTCTTGCCATAAAATTAGGGATTATTCTAGCCTCAGTGAGGGAATAATCTCGATTTTATTAAAGACAGGAGGTGAATATTTCCCCCCTTTGATGTTTCCCTCCCTCCCTGTCTTTGTTTTTTTTTCTCTTATGTTAATTGGGGGATATTGTTATATTCTTTGTAATGTATGGTCCTGTGTTTGATTACTAAATACATTTTCTGTGATGTGGTTTTGGTTGTCCATGTGTACTGATGTATATGGTATGACATTCTGCCTTGGCAGTTTACTTTCACAATGTTTCTATTTCCTTGCAGTGTAATCTGGATTTCCTCTGGTTCTGGTGGTTTCTCATCTAAGTGTGCCTGCTACAGTTGGATTTGTTTGTTTTTTATGCTCTCCTGCTCGACCTTATCAAAGAAAGAGGAAGTGGGAGGGTCTGACTGAGGGATTTTTTTATACTTCTGTTATTTTGTTCTGATTGGTTGTTCTGAAAAGTTATGTTAACTATTACTTTGCTGCTGGAGGTTTTCAGTAAAGAAGGTAAAGCAAATATTCGCCTTCTGTCTTTAATAAAATTTAGATTATTTACTCACCAAGACTAGAGTTATCCCTAATTCTCCCAGGCCTGAAGCCACACCAGCAGTGCTGGCATCAACAACAAGGTCTGTGAGAAAGCATTAGAATGAGAATATTTTAAGATGGCTGCCCTATATGTTTCATCCTGCACATCCCTGATAACTAGCCAATCCAAACACACTAACTCCGAATGCCCGCCTTCTAGCTCTGTCAAGGCCCTATTCCACTAAGCAGTGCTGCTCCATTGGCTACATTCCCAGTTTTATTGAAAGTGCAATTATGATCATACTTAAAGGCAAATCTTGTGAGCTGTTAAATAAATAGAGGTGTGACGAGTTATACTGCATGTTGTGGTGCCAAATTTGCTATTACAGGGTTACCAACAAAAATTATCCGTAAATAAAATCAAATAAAGATTTTGAAGTTCTCAGTGATAAATGGATACCCATACTTATAATACTCAATGTTATTTATGTTTTACCATAAAATAAAAACATATTGATGTCAGTGTTTTAGTACAATATAAAACATTCCATATTTTTTTATATTAAATATACATGATAGCAATTTCAAGGAGAACGAAAGGAGAGTAAAGTTGCATCCTGTTTTCACATCAATAAATATATTTACAGCACTGTGTATTTTCGTGTTTTCTTGAATGTATTCTGAAAGAGAGCTGTAAGGAGAAAACAAAAACATGTATTTGAAAGAATAATAAGATTATGACCTTACTGTAATTCAAGGAAAACTATGAGGGGGGATGGGGGTAAAACATTCAAATATATGAATAAATTAGATATTATACATATATATATATATATAAAGGCTGAAGAAGCTTTAATTTATAAAGTGGTTTAAATGGACTATGAATACAGTTTTATAGTGCTCTTTCTATTTGATTTAACTAACCAACTTGGTTAACCCCTTAAGGACACATGTCATGGGTGACATGTCATGATTCCCTTTTATTCCAGAAGTTTGGTCCATATATTCCACTATCATCTCTTTCCCTGTGGTTGGTATATATTTCCCTTTTATATATTTTTCACTATAGGCCCACACATACCTGTCAGATATGCCACACTCTATCCAAGATCCCTTTAGCTGTGGAGATGGCAGGGCCCAACCTCATTGGAAGAGCCTTGGTATAAAATTGAATCCTTTTTGTGTAATTCAAAAGATCTTTCTAATATGTTATGGACTGACGTTGGTGCAAGTGCAAAATTCATCTCCAATATAGAAACTTCATCCATAAAAGATATCTATGAAATTTGGGTAAAATACAAGAAAATAAATCACATTTTAAATAAAATTTATAAGTATAGTCCAATTAAGACAATGGAATATAATATTAATGACCTAAATTTAGGTAATTGGATCAAATTTGGTTCAACTAAAATAGATGATTTATTAGAATTGAATAAAATAAGGTATTTTTTACATCTTCAGTTAAGTCTTGACCTTAATTCAAGAGAATTATTCACATATCTTAGAATCAAAAATTATTTGGACAACCATTTGCTTTATGACAACACTAGGATAAATAAAAAATTAAATGATCTATTTAAAAATAATACTAATCGTAAATCGATATCTAGTTGGTATGAATTATTGAGAGAGGAAGAAAAAGAGTCTAAACCAAAAGCATGGAAAAATTGGGAACAAGAAAGTGGGTCTTTAATCGAGTTAGAGCAGTGGTATAGATCAATTCAAGAAGTTAAAAAATCATTGCATTGTCTAAATATCATAGAGCTTCATTATAAAATTCTTCATCAATGGCACAGGATACCAAAAATTCTAAATAGAATCAACCCTGATAATTCCAAACTTTGCTTGAGATGTACCTGTGCTGAAGGTAGCTCTAGACATATTTGGTGGGGATGCAAGCTTTTAAGACCTATATGGAATAAAGCATTTAGAGTTATATCAGACTTAGTGGGAGAAGATTTGGACGATAATTTATTGGTTGCTCTTTTCCATTTTAACTTAAGAAGATTCTCAACTCAAAATAGATATCTAATAATCCAACTTATGATGGCCATAAAAATAGAAATATCAATACATTGGCTACAGAAAAAGACTCGATCTTGGACCCAAGTGCTAACTCACCATAAATACCAACACAATATGGAAAGGGGAATATCTTTTCAATATGATAGCCACTTAAAATTTGATGAGAAATGGTCACCTTGGCTAGATAATCTGATATAACTGTATACTTTGGCGTTCTCTGTTATGAATATCCTTCTATATAAAAATCACTCTAGTTCTTCCCTGTGGTACTGTATTCAGTAAAGTTATGAAGTAACTTAATTATTATAGTTTAGACCCGCCTAGTCCGCTCAGTTCTTTTAAATTGTGATTTTTGTGTTTCTGTGTGTGAAGTTTACTTAACAGTTCACATATCTTTCTATTGTAAATCAAAGTCTATATGTCTAATTCTGAACTGTTCTTGTCTGTGATGTTATATAGGTAAAATTTGAAAAAAGAATAATAAAAATTAAAAAAAAGATCCCTTTAGCATTATAATATTCCCCTTTTATATTAGTTATAACAAATTATCAGGCTCTGATACTACTTTTTTTTATTTAGCCGATTCATGTTCTATCATTTTTTCAATAGGAATGATGTTGCATGTAAAGTGTTACACAGTAAGCACAAGTTATGTCACATGTAATGTTTTACACAGTAAGCACACGTGATGTCACATGTAAAGTGTTACACAGTAAATACAA